AAAATGAAATATATTTGCAAAAAATTTATCAATCATCAAATCAAGAAATGTTTGCTATTTCGCTGTCGTCATGCAGTCGTTATAATGCAAACTTTAAATTGGACCAATCACAGTGTTCGCGATTCATGACAGTCCGCCATATTTTTGAGATCAGTGAGGATGACCACCCACGGTTGGTGACCCACGCCCGCGACATTTGACGAACTTTAGACTTCGCTAATGCTTCGTTTCCCCGGGTGTAAATAGCCGGGGGGAATTAGTACCCTCGCACGGCGCTTCGCGCCGTCGGCTCGGGGAAAATAGCAGGATATTTCGAAATTAATGTAGAATACACGTACACTACTCAAACTGACAACCGATTTGGTGACCAACATACGGTGGCCGATAAGGGCCACCTCTGCTACATGGAAACGCGACTGTGCTGCATGGAAACGCGACTGTGCTGCATGGAAACGCGACTGTGCTGCATGGAAACGCGACTGTGCTGCATGGAAACGCGACTGTGCTGCATGGAAATGCAACTGTGCTGCAAGGAAACACGACTGTGCTGCAAGGAAACACGACTGTGCTGCATGGAAACGCGACTGTGCCGCATGGAAACGCGACTGTGCTGCATGGAAACACGACTGTGCTGCATGGAAACGCGACTGTGCTGCATGGACATGCGACTGTGTTGCATGGACATGCGACTGTGCTGCATGGACATGCGACTGTGTTGCATGGACATGCGACTGTGCTGCATGGAAATGCAATAAACATTGTTTTCTAAAAATAGAAAACACCCCCCCGGCTAGAATTAGTTTATTCAGCCGACGGGGTCACGGGGGGGGGGGGATGAATAGTTTCATGACACCACGACCACGCGGACGTTTGTCTCGACGAGGAATATAGAAATTCGAAAAGCATAAAATTTAAAAGAAAATATATCGAAGATTCGAAGATAAATTAAGGTTTCAAAAATGTGAGTCTTGAAATTGACAATGAAATCGTGTTGCCATTGTGGGGAGCATTTCCCAGACAAGACAAATTTTTGTTCAAATTGTGGGAAGATGCTGCTCAACAGTAAGTATCCTGTACCATTGTTTATTAAATTATGTATTTAAAATATATTATAAATGCATGGATGGGAGGTGTATATTAAATAAGGAGTCAAAGTCGAGGTGACTCCAAATCTATAATGTGCATTTAGGCTAATTGTTTTACTGACATATTGTTTGACATTGAAAAGTCTGGAGTTTTATAATCTTGTTCTTGTATACATATTTAATAATATATAATTATATACTGTATATGTATTATGTGGAGCTACTGTCTAAGAGCCTGTTTATATGGAAGCCGGGCTGACCCGCTTAGCGAGACAGCCTGGTAGCAAAATTTTCGCTTAGCGAGACAGCCTGGTAGCAAAATTTTCGCTGTGTCGTTATTTTTATACTAGTAAAAATTATTGTGCTGTGTGTGATGTTACTCTGAGTATATATCCACACAGGGAAACTTGAAAAATATGCCTGGCCAGGGTGGGAATTGAACCTACGACCTCGCCAAGACCTTTCGAGTACTAGGCCAATTATTGTGCTTTTATATGGACAAGCGGGTTGCCGAGATCTTGCTTGAAAGAGGCGAGATCTCGCTTACCGGGATGGGAATTTCTCCACTATATAAACACTCAAAGTTCAAAGGTACTGCCGCAAGCTATTTTTAACAACTGTCAAAACAATATCAATGTATTGCTTGCAAAAGTGTGAATTTCAGGTTTGTGAGAAAATAAATTTATATTTATTTATATCAATGAGTCAAGTGGTTTGTTTTGGCAAGCCAGCCCTCCTCCAAGTCTCGTGAGATGAAATCAACTCTGCAAAGTGACCTAGCTATGGTACCCAGGCTGGCTCGAATACATATAATCATCCCCTTAACAGACAGTAGCTCCACATAATACATATACAGTATATAATTATATATTAATATATATACAAGAACAAGATTATAAAACTCCAGACTTTTCAATGTCAAACAATATGTCAGTAAAACAATTATCCCAAATGCACATTATAGATTTGGAGTCACTTCGACTTTGACTCCTTATTTAATATACACCTCCCATCCATGCATTTATAATATATTTTAAATACATAATTTATTAAACAATGGTACAGGATACTTACTGTTGAGCAGCGCCCTCCCACAACATGAACAAAAATCTGTCTTGTCTGGGAAATGCTCCCCACAATGGCAACACGATTTCATTGTCAATTTCAAGACTCACATTTTTAAAACCTTAATTTATCTTCGAATCTTCGATATATTTTCTTTTAAATTTTATGCTTTTCGAATTTCTATATTCCTCGTCGAGACAGACGTCCTCGTGGTCGTGGTGTCATGAAACTATTCATCCCCCCCCCCGTGACCCGGTCGGCTGAATAAACTAATTCTAGCCGGGGGGGGGTTCTATTTTTAGAAAACAATGTTTATTGCATTTCCTTGCAGCACAGTCGTAGTCGCATGTCCATGCAGCACAGTCGCATGTCCATGCAGCACAGTCGCGTTTCCATGCAGCACAGTCGCGTTTCCATGTAGCAGAGGTGGCCCTTATCGGCCACCGTACACTGAACAACAAGTGCTTGCCTAGGTTGTAGTGAGCTTTGATTTAATGTTAATTTTGATAAAAAATGGCCCCCAACCGGCAGCAAAAAATGTACGAGTTACAGCCATTAACTGATAATATTTTGCTTTAATCAGAGTCTCAACTTCTACGAAAAGGTCTTTAGTTCCCACATCCCACACTTTAATTACATAAAGTTACTAGCGTAACTAGTTTCATGCCACATGAAGAAAATGAACAGCAATCGTTATCTTCAGGGCCATGCGGAATGAATGGTACTTCCTTTTGATCTCTAATTGAGATGCATGTCCTGACTGAATCAAATAAAAGATGCAAACAGTCTGGAGAAAACATAAGGAATTTGGACAAACCGCTTCGCACGCTTATTTTATTGAATGAACCGCTTCGCTTGCTTATTTTTAGTTAGAAAACTATTGTAAGTCTTGGTAAATTAAACACTTCAAGTGCCTTATACTGCGCGCATGCAAGAAGTTTTTATCTCGTGATAATACAAGCTCGATACTACAATAGTACAATTTTGGATTTAGAATTGCATTCATTTCCTATACAACAAATGAAGTTTAGGTGGAAGAAGTATCTAAGATACCCCTACACCCTAGCTTCGTCTCTAGAATTATTGGTATTTTGTAAAAAATCAAAATGTCCGTTCGCAAGAAATTGCAAATAAATGTAACATTTGTCCTTTTTGTCATGAAAGGAGCGGGTTCAAAAGTTTCTCAAGAAGGCATGAAGTTGAACAATCCGCCAAAAAATAGTATCGGAAAGCTTAGACTTATAAATTCTGAATATACGGTAAACGTCAATACATAGACAATCTGCGTCATAAAATATTAATCTTAAAAAGTTAACCTAACATTCACCAACCAGTGAAATTCTTTCATGTCATTAACATGCAACAAATATTTCTGACCATTCGTAATAGCGTATCTTTTCTCAGATGACATTTGGAAATATGAAACTGATCTTAAATAATTTATATCGCCATTAATTTTTTGCTTTTACAAGCACACCAGCGACGTTCGTTGCCGTCTGCAAAATCCGCAACAAAAGCATTCTCCTCATACACAGCCAGAAATCTCACAGGAATGTTGGAAGTTGTTGATTTTACCGGCTTCTGGCAAGTTGTCAACAAGTCGCGACAGGTCTGTTGGTTTCGTCAGGCGGTAACAGCCTTGCGGGAACAGGTCTGTCGCAAGCTGTTGACGACAGAGACGTAGCGACTTGCTGAAACAACCCGCTACAAACCTAGCTGGTACTAACAAGAGATAACAGGTCTGATAGAACAACTTGCAGCAGGTCTGATGAAATTAACAGGTTGTTCCAATTTGTTCCAACAGGCCTGTCGCGAGTTGTTATTGTCAAGTCTGCAGCAAGCTTGTTATCAGATCTGCGCCAAACCTGTCCACAACAAACAATTTTTGTCTTGTCACAACAAGTTTCAACAAGCCTTTGTTGGGAAGCAAATCGAAAATGAAACATATCGAAAAGAGAAAAATCGCACGAAATGGACACTTCCGCGGGTTCACTTTCTCATTCATGCACTAATTTCCATTTGCAATATTGAATGCAAACCAGCAAAAGCCGCTGTTTTATATATTCCAATTTATTGACGTGTGTTATCGCTATTTCTTTAATCTGATTGGATAAAGGCGTGTGCACACGTCATCATTCCTCGTTGCAATTTGACGAAATATTACAAACATATCTGATCACGTACGTAACAGGGTTCGTAGTCTCCAAGACCAAAAAAATTCAAAGACTTTCAAAGATTTTTTCTGCCTATTTTCAAAGACTTTTCAAAGACCTTTGAGACCAATCAGGTGTCGAAAAATACCATAACCATTTTTACCCGGAAAAGTGACCCTTTTTACCCGGTAATTAGTCACATCCTAAAATGCACCTTTTCATCGATATTTGCGAAAATCTTGCTTCAATCAATCTATTTTATTAGCTAGGAAATCGTATAATCAAATACTCACTAAAGAATTTAAAGACTTTTAAAGACTTTCTTCGCTTTTTCATACAATTCAAAGACTTTTCAAAGACCTTAAAGACCTGCATTCAAATTTAAAGACTTTCAAGGATTTCAAAGACCGCTACGAACCCTGAACATGCACCAACAATCGGGCCTCGATTCCTCCAATAAACACTTGTCTGATTAAAGTTTAATCTCAGTCGCATTTGACTCTACCAAACATCGCAGATTCTCTCCTGGTTCCTCCTGTAGTAACACTTGACCAATAAGGAGTGACTCATTTTTAATGATTGTATTCATACTGGAATAAAGTTATCCAGTATGAATGAAATAAGATTATATCCGATTAAAACTCCTGTTGTGTTTATACCAACTGAAAATTTACCTGTGGGATACCGTCGAGGAATTGTACCACCTTAGTTAGATCACCATCACCTTTTGTTGACAGAAAGAAAGATGGTACTAGTAAGCTGTGATGATGGTGGGGGTGGTACTGGTAACGGTGTGATGGTAATGGTGGTAATGATGGTTGTGGTAATGATGGTGATGGTGGTGATGATGGTGGTGATGGTGGTGATGGTGGTGATGGTGGTGATGGTAATGATGATGATGGTGGTAATGATGGTGATGGTAATGATGGTGGTAATGATGGTGATGGTGGTGATGATGGTGTTGATGATGGTGGTGGTAATGTGATGGTTGTGGTAATGGTGATGATGATTGTGTAATGGTGGTGATGCTAGAATGGTGAAGACTAAACACGCTAAATTATTCGCAATTTATTGTTCACAAACATACCGGAAGCCCCATTCTTTTCTGAACGTGTGACAGTCTTGGAGCTGCTGTCTGCTTTAAGTCTTGCCCAGCGAGTCAGACAGTCGAGGAGAGAGAAAATGGTCTGTGCACTGATGTGACTAAAATCTGAAAAGAAATATTGTGACATGGTGTAGACAGATTTTGGTGAAAATAAGGATTCTGAATGGGCCAAAACATAAATCTTTAACATTTGGGACTACAGATGATCCTTAAGAGATTAAACTTACTGTATCTCAATTTACAATTGATAAAGCTATCCTGTGTAGTGCACAGGTAAATACTTCATTAAGTAAAATTAACCTTACAAACCTATGGAATTATTGGTTACATTATACTCCGGATTTCGTTCTTCCACATGCTTTAAAACAGCCAGGATTTCGTCGTAAACCTTTAAAAACAAAAAGGTCAGAATATGCAAGCCTGACGTTGAAGGTTACTATGGTATCAGGGTCTTAACCGGGATATGGAATTTTGGATTTTGCTTACAACTTAACATTTACGTGGCAGTAAATCTCTTTGCGTGATTCACACTCCAAATAAACTATGCGATTGAAATTTGAATTATTTATGGGGATAACAAAACTTTCTTAGACAATGGCAGAAAATATGAAATATAAAGAGGTATTGAGTGTGAAGCCATCCAGTGAAGAGTACACGCGTAAAAATTGAGAAAATCAACAACTTGGTGGGGCGGCCCACTATGAACAGTAATTGTCAACATGTTGTTACAGCATTGTTCGACTGTAACAACTTGGAACAACATGGTTGACAACTTGTTCATAGTTGGCCGCACAACATTGTTCACGCCTGTCGATATCAACTTGGAACAACCTGTGCGTTTTTAGCCGTGTACAATCTACAGCAGTGTAGCCAGCCCGACAATTTAGCCCCGCTATGCAAATTCAAAATTATTATCATTATTCATTTCTTTAGAAATTAAATAGAAATTAAATGGCTACGCTACTGATCTACTGATATTTAGAAGTCTTCTGAAAGTCGCATGTGTGCAATCTCATGATAATCGGCTGTCTCAGAGCCGTCCTTTTCAAGCGGCCGTGCAAAGTCTAAGATGGCGTCCAGAAGAAAGTTGAACTAGCACTCTATTCTTCTCTCACCTCTTTATGGTCTTCAGAAGTGCCATCAATAGCAACATACAGCATGATGTGAGGTAACAGAAATATTGCTGTGTTCATATTGTGCTAGAGAAAAAAATCACGTGGGTGAGGAGAATGTGCACGTGCCGCTGGAATCTATCAACAAAAGAACAAATCTTCACCTTAAACACAGCAGAACAAGCTTTGAATAATCGTAAGGCCTTGTGATTTTTAACCTGTATAATTGACAAATATTTTACAGGATAGTTTAGTTTAGGATAGAACAGTTTAGCAGAACAGAAGAACAGTTTAGAACTGATAGAGCTATCTTCCTGTAGTAACACTGGATCAGTAAGAGATGACTCTTACTGGACCTCTAGGGAGAACAGTTTAGAACTGATAGAGCTATCCAGTATAAATAAACTTAGTTTAATCTAGGTTTCCTCCTGTAGTAACACTGGATCAATAAGAGATGATCCTTACTGGACCTCTAGGGAGAATAATTCAGACTGACAGAGCTATCCAGTATAAAAAATAATGTTGAATTTAGTCTATCCTCTTTGACAAATCTGTAAGCCGCATATACCTTTGAGACCAGTTCTAATGTCCACGCACTAATCCAGTCACTGAAATTTTGACCAGTACTACTGCCATATATAGGTTTATTGGGTTTGCCACGATTAGATTGTGCTGAGAGACGATATCTAACAAGACACATCAGTTGGGATACGTTGGTGAATTGAGCACCATGTAGTACATTATCTCACTCAGTAAAACTATGGACTATAACTCATGTATACTCACTTAGACTGAAGATGTGGTTTCAGGATCTCTTTTATATTATCTGGAAACTCCTGCCAAATTTTATATCCGGGACTGAAACATTAAAAACAATCGATAACCTTACTGCAAAACTATACCTAGGACTGCAAAACTATAGCTAGGACTGTAAAACTATAGCTAGGACTGCAAAAAAATAGCGGAGCACGGGGTCCAGAAGATGTTTAAGTTGGCAGAAAAAGAAATTTAGGGGAGTAATGTTAATATAAAAAGATATAAAAATTGAGATAAAAAAGTAATAGACATTTCCATGGTACCATTTCCAAGGTACCCACGAACCTTGTACGAATTTTATTTGAACATTCGTATATCTGTAATACTTCCTGAATAGCATATGCTGAACAGTCCTAGATTTGGAGAAAAAATACACGAAAAACGCGCGGTTAAAAAACTGTGACGTCACAAACGTTCGACCTAAGGCACTCGTATAACATTACCTGCGAACGGGTGTCTGCAGCGGCCGTAAAAGCCCTCGCGAGTTCATTGAGCAGATCTGTTGCAAATGACGAAGAATCACACATCGTCTAAAAGTGCAGGAAAGTACATCAGTGGCAGAATATCAGAGCTATCCAATGTAAGTGAAGTTAATAATTACCGAGTATCTTACAACATGGATACCATAAAAAAACATTATTTCACGGACAAACCTCATAAACAGCTGGTTCTTCGTTAGTCTGCTCTGGTTTCCCAAGCCTGCAAACAAACACCAGATATAAAATGGAAATCTATTCAACTCTCTATAAACGTCAGGCACCATGTACGTACCATCCAGGATCTACTGCTCCAAGCTCTCCCAGACATTCTCCCACTTTCGCTTGAGTACTTGCTTCACCACACCTGACAATTAACTGAAAATAACGCGAGTTAGTTCAGCTTGAATTTCATCATAACCACCAGCATCACACAATCACCATCATACCCACAATCATCCAAGTCACCATCACCACCACCATCATCATCACCATCATCATCATCATCATCACCACCATCATCATCACCACCATCATCATCACCACCATCACCACCATCACCACCACCATCATCACCATCATCACTACCATCACCATCATCATCACCACCATCATCACCACCACCGTCATCACCATCATCATAATCACCACCATCACCACAGAATGAACATGTACAAGAACGTACTTACCGTGTCAATTACATTACAAATTACGGGATCCACTTCGTCTTTCTTCGTAATATACTCGTGTAGTGCGCCCTTTATAAGTGAAGCGTAATACGGTTAGTTTAGTTTAGAAAGAACAGTTTAGAACTGATAGAGCTATCCAGCATAAATAAAGTTAGTTTAGTTTAGGTTTCCTCCTGTAGTAACACTGGATCAATAAGAGATGACTCTTACTAGACCTCTAGGAAGAACAGTTTAGAACTGATAGAGCTATCCAGCATAAATAAAGTTAGTTTAGTTTAGGTTTCCTGATGTAATAAACTCTTCACCAAGAAGGAACAGCTCTAACTGAACTAGTAGGGACAACGCAACTCTAAGAATATTAATACAACGTACAAAATGTTTCTAAATGTACCTGATTATCATGTAAAAGTGTTTTCAATCTCGACACGGCATGATAACGAACGTCAGCACTTTCATGTGAAACACATTTTATTACTTCATTGATCTCTTCCCTCAGCTCATTGTTTGTCTTGCTCCGAATAACGTCCTCGTATACAACTTTAACATCATCGAACTGTGGATACTCTGGGATGAAATAAATATCCTTAAAACTATCTTTTAAATCTTCTTTTCTCTCCACGATTAAATAACGGAAAATATTCGCCACCTGAATGAACAAAGATTCATTGATTGCTTCACCGTTATTAAACATAGATTTGGTGGTAATACGGACCTTTAGGGGTACGTTAGGATTTGAAGAAAAAATGTTGTGTATTGTACTAAAGTTCGAGGAGATTAAAACAAAGGTTTTTTGGTTGAAAACATTTCTGTTGGGCAAATTTGTAGTACCATTTGTCGCGGTTTGAAATATTTGTATTATACAAGAGACGGGAAAATCTACGTCTCTAACTCCGGTGGGGCTTTTAATTATTCATTTCTTTTCCACGAGATCAGGAATATCATTGTGTGAATAGCCGTCAATCTGCTTGCTTAAATCTCTAATATATCCTACCCTCGACCTACAGTAGCAGGCTTAACTCGACGGTGGGGAGAGCGATGTGTTTGAATGAACGTTTTACCTTCTCAACTGAGTGCTCAATGAGCGGTATAAGAGTGACCACAATATGACCGAGCATTTGTCCAAGTGACGTCACATCTAGACAGCGAACAAAGCAGTCCCATGCCTCGCAGCATAGGTCACCCAGGTCTTTTGATTCAAACTGCAGAGCAAGTTTAAGTATGGCCATAATCTTAACTCGAACGACAGTGATATATTTCGCTCCCATGAGCTCCATAAGTTTCACTAACGAACCAAGAGCGAGATGTTTCTCTTCCACGTTTTTGTCGTCCAGCAGAACTGTGTTGAAGAATGCCAGAATGCCAAGAAGACGTGGTTGAAGAAATTCTGCCTACAAACAATGGTCATTGTGAGGTTTAATTCCTACAATATGCAGCTGTCTGATCATTATCACAGGAAAAAAATTAAATTTCCATTAATGGGTTTTTTAATGGTATTTAAAGATTTACCATTTATATATTATCAATGAGGAAATCCATAAATATTTTTTTCTGTGTATTCTACCCCAGTCGCATGTGAGAACGGTGGTTTCACAGTGGAACATTCCGATCCAAACAGAGTTAAGACCTTTTCATTGTTTTGAAAATCCCACTGTTCTCCATGCCATCCAGTTACTCATGGTTTTGACCTACATTAGCGTTCGTTGCAACTACTTACCATCTGTTCGGAATTCGGGATATCCGTAATGGCAGTGTCGGCTTTTTCGGCCAGGATGGACAGTCCAGTAAAGACTTTATTGTAAGACGATTTCAGATGCAAGAGAAGTTGGTTCACGACACTTTGAGAATCTGATTTCAACAGACTACCGAGGTCCACTTTTGTTTCACGCTGGAAAGGTCGGAGAATTGAAAACAAAGAATAAGCACGAAACTTTCTAACTGTACCCAATGCAGTTTGATCTTTAAAAAACATTCTCAAACTCATTAATAATTCGTGAGCAAAACACAGGAGAATCCAACCATATTATTGATAGTACCGTACCATGTTTACTTATGTTAAAACATACCTCAACAAAAGCCAGCGCTTCTTTGAGTTCCTCCCCGGAACAAGTGCGAACAAGGTACGAAAAAATAAAATTAAAATTCATCAAGAGTAAATCTTTCCTGTAGTTAACTTTAAGATGAGTTGCCAACTGACGGAGAATTGTAGACGATTGAGGAAGAGCCTTTTGTACCAACTGAGGAATGACAATGCTTTGAGCGCTCTGAAAAAAGGAAAAGGGTAGTTTTATTATATTAGTGCTAAACTGTTCTCCTAGAGGTCCAGCAAAAGCCATTTCTTATTGCTCCAGAGTTACCGTAGGAGGAAACCAAACTATCCGAAGAAAACCTGTGGTGTTTGGTAGAGTGAAACAAGAAGCACACTTCTCACAAACCAAACAAGCCAATCGAGGGAATGAAACTCTGGTTCCAGAGGTTAAAGACATCGAGGGAATGAAACTCTGGTTCCAGAGGTTACAGACATCGGGGGAATGAAACCATGGTTCCAGAGGTTAAAGACATCGAGGGGATGAAACCATGGTTCCAGAGGTTTAAAGACATATGCACCAACCTCTGTACCATAAAAAATACAACGCAAGATGATTGACACATGAAGGACGTAGTGACACAAACCTGCATCAGAGCTTTGATGCTTTTGAAATGGAACACGTTACTGACGGTTGTAAAAGTTTCCAAGCAGTAATCATTGTCTTCACTCATCGAGCCTTGCTGTTGTTTTATGACAGTGTCCACCATGAATTTGCAAATGTGAAGTTTTAAATCTCCAAACATTTCTTGTAACGATTTCTTTTTGTGCTTAGCTACAGCACGAATCTAATGAAACATGAATATATATTATTAGTACCCCGGTGGGTGGTCTGTAATAGGTCTATCTAACAAATCGTAACTGTACCAGACAGGATCTTATGTACCATGTAATAGAACAAAGAATTTTGTCACCATCACTATCATCATCATTATCACCACCATCATCATCACCATCATCATCACCAACACCATCATCATCACCATCATCATCATTACCACCATCACCATCATCACCATCATGATCATCACCATCACTACCAGCACCATCAACGACCATCATCACCGCGTCGTCTCTTACCTGAGTAAAAGCCAAAGATGAAATAATCTTTTTTTTACTCAACAAAGTTTCCAGTAAACTAACAATCACCACAAGCAGTAAATCATCTTCTGCTTCCTTTCCAAGTTCACCAATCGTATAAACGATCGTCTCTTGCAATCTAAAGTGAAACACGACACTTATTATCTGGATTTACACTAGCTAAATGGACAGCTAATGTATACCAGTTCTAATGTATACCAGTTCTCCCTAGAGGTCCAGTAAGGATCATCTCTTATTGATCCAGTGTTACTACAGGAGAAAACCTAAACTAAACTAACTTTATTTATACTGGATAGCTCTATCAGTTCTAAGCTGTTCTTCAGTAGAGGTCCAATAAGGGTCATCTCTTATTGATCCAGTGTTACTTCTGGAGGAAACCTAAACTAAACTAACTTTATTTATACTGGATAGTTCTATCAGTTCTAAACTGTTCTTCCTAGAGGTCCAGTAAGGATCATCTCTTATTGATCCAGTGTTACTACAGGAGGAAACCTAAACTAAACTAACTTTATTTATACTGGATAGAACGTTTTCATGCCTGAATTTCTTTAAGGCGGATGCTTTCATGAAGACATCTTTCAATTTCGTAACGACCATTTTAGTGCTATTCACATCTTGTTTTGTGAGACAAGGAAGCAATTTACTAGAAGGAAAATAAAGAACGAATATTATTAACTGTTCTTCCGGTGCTGGAAGAGAAAAAAAACACGGAGAAAATCTGCGCTGTTTTGTAGAGTCAAACTGGATTTACTGGAAGCATTCTTTTTACATGCAACTGGGATGAAATTCTAACTAAATGACTCTACATTGAAAGCAAGTTTTTAGCCCATACCTGAACTTGAAACGGACATTATAATCAGGGTCCTCAACCAGATCAATGCATAAATACAAGACACGAGTACAGTATTCTGAAGAAAACTTTACGTGGTTCTGAAGGTGTTTAAAACCATTGATGAATGATAGTTTAGCCTTTGCCGGTACTTTAGGTACGATCAATTCCAAAACATGACGAAAGAATGCTTCACGATCAGCAGAACAAACTGAAACAAGGAAAATGAACCATCGCTAATGAACATTAACTAATCATCAGCCTGAAGATGGTATTTCGACATTCCGAACGAAGACTAACTCTCCTGACAAAGAAACTGTACTTTACATCGAAAGTGTTTTTTAATATTTTTCAGAATGAGAAAATAATGTTAATGCTTTTCACTAATTGCAGTAATCTTATATTTTGGAGCAAATAAATAGAGCTGAAAGATTCAGTTTTCTCGCTCCTGTAACGGTCAACAGTTGTATGTTAATATCCAAGGATGGATCCAGCATGATCTGGTG